CGGGGCGATGAGGTCACCGGGCCGGGCCGCCGACGTCAGCACCGCTGGGGGAGGGCCTGACGTCGGCACCGCTGGCCACAGCTGCTGGAAAGTGCCCCTTTTCGGGACTTATTTGGAGAAAGCGCCGGGAGGCACCGCCTTCTCCTCTTCCTCCTCCTCTTCCTCCGGCGCTGCCCGCCCCCCTGCCCGGCCCCGGGGCTCCCGCCTGCCCGGCCCCGGGGCTCCCGCCTGGCCCAGCCGCGGGCTCCCCCGTTACTGCGCACGTACGTCGGAGGCTTTCTTCTCCGTCAGCTCCAGCTTCTCCTGGGCGTCTTTCAGATTCTCGGAGTATTTATCCAGCTCATCCTCCGTCCCCTTCAGCTTCTTCTGGAGGTGTGTTAGCTCCTCTTCCACCTGGGGACAGATGGGGGGACCTGTCAGCCTGGGGACCACGTACCCGTGGCCGAGTGGCGTCTCCCACGTTCACAAGAGTCCTCTGTCTCTCCGGGCCTCAGTTGCCTCATCTGCAAAACAGGGATAACGATACTGTGCACCACTCAAATGCTACCTGTTAATATGATTTGCACCTTCTTCCCATCTCTTGGGACCAGCTGTGTGTGCTTATCTTTTGGGGGGTCCTGGATACTCTTTCAGAATCGATTACAGCTTTTGGGAAACAAGTCCCGACACACTTCCCAGAAACACACGTTCAGTCTTGCATCCCAGTTTCAGGGGTGCGGACTGCTGGTGATCCCGAGTTAAGCAGAAATAGGAGTCTCATACTCTGGGCCCAGATCTCCCCCAAACCCCAGGCTGTCCCTCTCTAGTCCTGCCTCCTGCACTGGCAGCTAGAAAAACTTTCTAAATGTATGTTTGCCCTCCTCCTGCCTAAAACTGCCCTGGCTCCCCATTGCCCAAGAAATTGGGTCTCCGACTTTCCCACAAAATACTCTGAAAGGTTGGGGCACCTGGGGGGGCTCAGTAGGTTAAGCCTCAGATTCTTGATTTTGGCTCAGGTCATGACCTCAGGATGGTGAGATTGAGCCCCTGGTTCGGCTGGTGCTGGGTATAGAGCCTGCTTAAGATTCTCTCTCTCCCTGTACCTCTGTCCCTTGCCCCCACCCCCGCCCCATGCTCTCTCTCTCTCTCAAAAAATAAAATGAAATACTCTGAAGGCCCACCCCATTCCTGTACTTGGGGAGCTTGGCTAGAAGAGAGATACCCCTCAAAGACCACTTTCTCTGAAGGCTAAGGTTAAATCTTTAAAATTACTGCACATCTGGCTTATGTTCATTTTAATAAAAATGTCCCCCACGTTCCCAAGTTTTCAGTTCTCTTTGTTTATCCTGGGAGCCTTGCCCCTCTCTTGGCCCTCCCAGCTTGAAATGCTCAGATCTATGGGATACAAACCACAAACCCCTTCACCTGTCCATCTCCATTGCGCTCCACCACACCAGTCAAGAGTCAGTTCAGGAAGCCTTCTCTGTCACCTCCAGGCTGCACCTCCCTCCCCTGTCCTGAACTCTGGTCCTCTGGTCAGTCCAGCTCATGCTTTGATCTGACTTCTGTCTCTGGTAGTTTGACGCTGTGGTCCAGTCCGTGTTCCCAGGGTGGGCAAGGAGCCCTCCCTGGGCCCTGCTTCATCCTCCTGCTTCCTCTTCCCAGTAGGAAGCCCAGAGAGGTGGAGTGACTTTCTCCAGGTCACCCAGCACAGGGTTTGAACCCACTTCTGAACAGGCCCTTATGCCAGGCCTGCTTTCCTACGTCCCTTTCTGACTTCCTTCTTTTCTTTAACATCCGGAAGAAGGTATGTTATTAGAGCTGATGTGGCTTCTAGGTCAAGCTCTGAGTCTGATCTGGGTTACACACTCACCCCTGAGATGATCTGTAAAATGTGCCAGATGCTTTGTGTGTGTGTGTGTGCGCGCGTGTCTGTGCGAATTCTCTTTTTTTTTTTTAAGATCTATTTATTTATTTGAGAGAGAGAGAGAGCGCGCACAAGCGGGAGGGGTAGAGGGAGAAGGAGAGAGAATTCAAAGCAGATTCCACACTGAGTGCAGAGCCCGACATGGGGCTCGATCTCAGGACCCTGAGAACACAACCTGAGCCAAAACCAAGAGTCTGACGCTTAACCAACTGTACGCCACCCCCCGTCCCCCGTGCAAATTCTTAAAAGGTCTCCTGTCCCATCTTCAAGGCCACTGAGTGTCCTACTGCTGAGCTAGGGAATGGGGAGGGGAGTGGGGCTCAGAGGAGGAGGAGGGTGACAGCAGCTCAGGCCTATGTCAGGCTCCACAGGGCCTGATCTTGACCTTCAGGCAATAAGCCTAGATGCCTGGCTCCAAATCCCAGCTGTATGACCCCTGTCCCCTTTTGTGGCTTCAGTCTTCTCATCTGCAAAATGGAAGCCTTGTCGTGGTGGTCTCTGAGTGCCCCAGCAGCTGCTGTGAAACTTCTGCCTTGACTGAGAAAATGATCCAGTTTCCTTAAAGACAGGTCAGCGTGACCCAGCATTCACCTGACTTCCTTCTGGAAGGATCTGTGGGGTGCAGCATTTACTAGGTGCCAACTATATGCCCAGCACAGCGCTCTCTTAACATGACAGAGTGAGAGCAAGTTCTGCAGCTTTGGGCTCATCCAGGTGTGAAGATGGTTAGGTTTTTCATGACATCTTCCAGCAAGGTTTGGACAACAATTGGTCGGGACTGGGGTCGGGGGCTATGAAGCATTTAGAAAGTGCCAGGCACACGACACGTACTATCTCACTGAAGCTGCATGTCAGAAGGGTAAACTGAGTCCTAGCAGGAGGAAGGGACTTGCCCCGGGCCATACAGATAGCGGGTTTGAACCCTCGTCAGACTGATTCCAAAGCTGGTTCGGTTGACTTCTAGGTTATGCATGCCCACTGCCCACCCGCTTCCCACTGACCTTCCACACCCAGCACCAGTACCCCTCCCCTTGGGAAGCCCACCCTGCTGCCCCGGGCAGAGCCTCACCACCGCCTTGGGCCCTCCCAGTCCCTGTCCCCACCTCCAGCCCAGCCCTCTCCATGTCTGGCTCTGTCTCTCCAAGCCTGACTCCTCTGGAGTTGGGCCGGGCTGAGGTCACCCTGAGCCAAGCCCCAGCATCACTCAGCATGGGGCTAGGCCCAGTCCTCACCGAGGAAGTCCAGGGGAGGTTTGCAGAATGAATCAATGACACACCCAACGCTTCAGTGGTTGGAGCCAGGTAGGAAAAATCAGTAAGACTGACACAAATCGGGTTCCTTTCCCTCTGCCCAATTTCTAAGCACAAAGTGTGTGCTGGTGTGTATGACACCTTGCTGAGGAGGGTAGCCTTGCCCTGGCTCTGTATGGTCTCTGACAAGTCACTTCCTTCTCTGGGCCTCAGTTTCCCTGCTGTAAAACGGCTGGGAAGGTCAGGGAGTGCACACCTTAGTCCCTGTAAATGGGGCCTTAGGAGAGGGCTGAGGCAGGATGTGGGGTCAAAGTCCAGTTGTGGCGGATATCACTGCCCTGGGAGGGGAGTGGGCAGGAAGCTGGGAGGGCAGGGCCTCCCGATCCTGTTCCCACACTGGACAAACAGGGCCTAGAACTGAGACTTTGCTGCAAGGTCCCCAAGGGGCAGGCTGGCCCCGGGACCCACACTCTGGCCTCATGAAGTGTAAGGCACTCCAGGTAAGTCAAGTCCCTCATTGCCTCCTGCCTCCGTTTCTAGGTGGGACAGGCCATCGGCCCCTTGAGAATGTGGCCTCTGCTTTGGGCCTCTGGAATCTTGGGTTCCACACCTGGCCATTAGGAGGGGGGCCCGTGCCCCCATGTCACAGATAAGAACACTAAGGGTTCAGAAAGGGGCAGCAATGTGTCCTGAGTCAAAGTTAGAAGAAGATCCAGCCTGGATTCAAGCACAAGTCCACCCAGTGGGTGGCTTCATGGAAAACCAAGAACAGAATGAAAATCCAGCTGGAGGCCAGAAAACCTGTCCCTGCCTTTTTGGCCATACCAATGGCTGAAGGCTTTGAGAAGCCTTCCCTTTTGAATGTGTGTCGCCTTGGGAGAGTATGCTGTATCAGTCACTCACACCTTAGTGAAAATTAGAGCCATAAACTTGCTTTGGTCTGAATCCCTAGCCGAGCCTCTCATGGCAAGGGCTAAATAATGGATGGAAGTGGGCAGCTCAGGGCCAGCACAAGATGGGTGTCTGTGTTTGCCAGGGAGGAAGGAGGAAGGGAATGTGGCAGGGAGTGCTGGGGTGGGGCTGGCCTCTGAGAATGTGTCACAGGTTCTTAGGGAAGCCCCGGGATACTGGGGGATGGGGAGGCCCACAGAGGAAGTAGGGCGTAGGGCAGGGCAGGAAATAATCCTGCATTTATTGAGTGCTTACTCCGTGCCAGGCACCAGGACAAGGGCTCCACCTGCAGTCACCTCTAATCCTTCCATGGTGTCACTTTCCTATCTCAAACCTGGGGCCACTGAGGCACAGGCCTTTGTTCCATGGCGCTCAGTGACCCAGCTGTGGACAGAGCCAGTCTGAGCTCAGAGCCTGTCCTTTTTACCTTCCAAGCTGGCCTGGTGTTTGGGCTGAGCAGGGCTCGGCACGGAGTGTTGCTGTCCTGGGCGGCTCCCGGGGCTTATCTGAGACCCTGATGCTTCTGAGGGCTGGGTGGTCAACCCCAGCGGTGCGGCTGAGTCCTGTGGGGGGCAGGGTGCTACGGAGAGAGCAGCACCCCCTTCCCTCCTCCCACTGGCTGATCTGGCCACCCAGACCCAGACAGCTGACTTCTGCTCTGCTCCAAAGCATGGCCTTGGGACTGCCCAGCCTGGGCCTCTGCCCACCAGCTGCATTAGCCCCCTGGTGTACCCTAGTGCCGGAGCCTTCTGCGAAACTTGTCTCCAGAGCTCTAGGTCCAAGGCCTCTGCCTGCCACTGGCACCCCCACCGCTCCCCTCTGGGCTCCCAGCAGGGACGGCGGGGGAACCTGAGACATGCAGAGATGCACTGAGATCCTCAGGTTCACCCCCAAATCTCCAGCTGCCCCAGGCCCGACTCTCACCCAGCTGCCCCGGCACACACCCACACTCGGCCACCCTTCCTGCACAGTCCCACCTGGGTGTGTCCTGGCACGGGGACAGGGTGACCCTCACACACAGCTCGGCACTGCCACCCTCACCACTCCACACGCGCGTGTGCACACACACACACGTGCACATGTAGCCGGGCGCCGCCACCCTCACCTGGACACTAATACACACACACACACACACACACTCCGACAGGAACAATCACCCCAACGAGCACACACACAGTCCCCTCGACACACACACGCTCAGCCTGACACACAAACATTCCACTGCTGTCATGTCAGCTTTGGCACGAGCACACACGCACACAGCCTCCCCCCCCACACACACACAAGCCCACAGTGACACCACCACCGACGCCCCCACAGACTCATGGACACATGCAGACCCTTCTCATCCCCACTTTCCAACAACTGCACGCTCGTGCCTCGGTCTGCACATACTCATTGTCACAGACACTTTTACCTTCCACACTCTCTGCGGCCCAAACACGCACACACACACACACACACACACACACACCCCACCTGTGCACACACAGAAATGCCCAAACACACAAATACACTCTCACACACGGTATCCACCAACCACCCCATCTAGTACACACCACCCACGCTCATCCCCTCATCCCAACACCCCTACACACACTCCAGCTTGCACACACATCCAGTGCACACAAACACCCCTCCCTTGCCCAAGCGCGCATGCTCGCGTGCTCTTGCTCTCTCTCTCTCTCTCTCTCTCTCTCGCTTTGCTCACCCTGGCCCTGCTGGGGTATAGTCACCTCTCTCTCCCAGCTCAGGGACCCTGGAAAGACAATGGTCCTCTCACTCTCAGCCATCACCCCCTGTCCCTTGCCCTGACTCCAGGCACTGAGGTTGCTGAAACTCCCGCCTTGGGTCCCAGAGCCTGGCCTCCCGGCCAGGAGCAGCGCACAGAGGGCACTGGGCACCTCACCTGCTTGCACTTCTCCTCAGCGGCTTTCTTATCTGACTCGGCCTGCTCCGCCCGGTCAATGGCGTTCTCCTTGTCCAGCTTCAGCATCTGCATCTTCTTCTTGATGGCCTCCATGGCTGAGCGGTGGGGCGCGGGCACAGAGGACTCTGTGGAGGGGGCTGCGCTGCGGGCCGGGGCCGAGTGAGCAGCCAGGCGGGGGCGAGGCCCTTATAGGCTCCCAGGCGCACCGCCCCGCTGCCGGGCGAGACCTGGAGGAGGCCCAAGCCCAGGCTGCCGGGCCAGCCGCCACTCGCTTGCTCAGGAGGACTTGGCCAGCTCACCGGCCGCCCCACAGCCCTCGCCTTATTTGGGCCTAGGATTTTCTCAAAGGAAAAAAAAAAAGGAAAGAAAAAGCCCGACCCGTTTCCATTTTTAACCTGGTGACACAGGTCCCTTGTGAGTGTGCGGGCACAGCGCTGGCTCAGCAGGACCCTGGTGGACCATCGGCCAGCCTCAATTTCCCTGTCTGTGCTGGGGAGCACAGAGAGGGCTTGTGTGTGGGTGCAGAGTAGGGGCGAGGTGGGGTGGGGAGGCGCCTGTCCTCCCTTCTCCTCCCCTCTGGTCCTACCTCCAGGTATTGGGAGTCAGGACTCCATCCCATCTCCTGCTCTGCCCCAGGGGCTCCCTGCGTTACCCCCCTCTTTCTGGCAAATCTTTGACTCATCATCTTCTCCCTCTGTCTCCTTTCTGATGAGTGTCTCTGTGTCTCTCTCTGTCTGTGTCTCTCTCCATCTCTCTGTCTGTGTCTTCCCACCTCTCAGTTGGTGTGTTCATTTCCCTGTCTCCCTGTCTCTTTTGGTCTTGTTCTCTTGGACTCTCTCTCTATTGCTTTGTCTCTCTCTCTCTCTATCCCTTCAGGTTCCCCCTGTCCTTCTTTCTATCTGTCTCCTCCTATGTCTGTCTCTCTGTCATCTCCCCTGCCCCCGCAGGCCGGCATCACCAGGGCAAGATTGACCTGGATCATCTCTTGGAAATTCTTGGCAGGCCCAGACCAGGCCCTGATGCCCTCCTGAGATGGCATACCCTCTCTTCCCCACTCAGCATCCGTCTGTGGCTCCCCAGCACCACTGGAATAGGAGGTGGCCTTAGCTCAGCTTGTCATTCAGACTCCTGCCCGTTGCTCACTCCCCAACTCTCCACAGCAGTGTTTCCCAGGCAGGGCTGTGGTCTCCCCACCTCCAGGCCTTTCCAGGTAAGGTACCCCCAGCCTCCCCGTTACGCTTCCCCTCTGTCCTCCAGCAATCTGCCTTCAGAAACTCATTCTTTCGTGTGATGAACACGGAGAGCCTTTCACGTGCTGAGCCCCAGCAGCACATGCTCAGAACGTGGTACCTTTTACTATTACTGTTATTTGGTCATCAGTTTTGGACCATGAGCTGCTTTGGGGCAGGCCTGTGCCTCAGTCTTATCTGTGGCCCCTCAGTACCTGGCCTCCAGAAGATCAGAGAACCCTTATTAAAGTGAACCATTACCCCTATACATGCACACGCTCTCTCACACACATTCACACACCACCCCTCACCCCCCCCCACACACACACACTTCTCCAACTGGGAAACTCTATTCATCCTTTAAAGTCCAGATCAGATGGCTCCTCCTCCAGAACGCCCTCCTGGATTCCTAGACAGAGCCCTTGCCCCCCAGCCCCAGCACCAAAGCTTCTATGTGGGATGAAGTAGAAGGAGTGAAGCTTCTGTGTTTCCTACCCAAGGCCACAGAAGGAGTCTGGGCAGTGGCCAGCACCGCTGGGGAGCACGGGGGTCAGGCCCAGATATAGAGTCCCTGCTTCCCTCTGACCCCCTTAAACCAGCTTCCTTTGCTTTGTCACGTTGAGAAGTCCTGTCCCTCCCCCATCAGCATGGGAGCCCAAACAGTAGCAACGGAACATTCTGGAAACTTTCTCATGCTCCAAGGATATTGGCTTCTCCCCATGTTCAGGAATCAAGGGGACTCGGCCCAGATCCCTCCCCAACTCTGTCTCCATCTTTCTCTCTCTTATCCCACCCCTCCCCAAGTCCTGGCTGCGAAGACCCAGTTTCCTCTTAGGACACAAGCAGACCATCATGCATCTCGAAGAATGTCAGTGATGATTGAAAGACTGGGGATAGATAATGAAGTGCTGTGCCTGGTGCCATGCTGAGCACTCCACTCAAAGCATCTCACTTCAGCCTCCCTGAACTCTAAGAGGTAGAAGACTGGATTTGTTCCCATTTATAGAGAAGGAAGCAGAGGCCCAGAGTCACCCACCCAGGGTCACCCAGTTTGTGAATGGCAGAACTGGAACCTGACCCAGCTGCCTCTAGACAGAGCTGGAGAGAGGTCCTAAGACACCCTGCCATGTCTTTCTGCCTTCTTTCTCCCATCCTCTGTCTCAGGCTGAGTCATCAGAGGTCATCTCCCTCCACCCCCTGCCCTCCCCCCGCCACTGCCTCCTGGGAGTCCCTGGGACCAGCCTTACCGCAGGTGGTGTGGCTAATTCCAGACCTGACACCACCGGCTCAGGAAAGGGATCCCTCCCCCAGGAGCTGCCGGCTAGCTCGGTGGCCTTGTAAGGTAGACCCTTGTCACTGGAATGTCCTCTCGCTCAGGGAGCTCCCGGAGGTGGAATCTGATGCTGGGGAGGGGAGAAGGAGGCTAGGAATGGCGTTAGAGTCCAGCTGTGCCCCCTGCCCTGCAGCCTCGGGACTGGTGCCCTCTCTGTGCATCTGCCCCAGGGACACCTGAGGAGAGCTGACCAGGGCTGGAAGGGTCATCCAGAGCTCCTGGGGACCCTGTCCCAGCTGTCCAGGCTGTGGGGCATGATGGGGGTGGAAGTTGCCATTTATAGCTCAGAAGGAGTGAACTCCCGTCCCAACAGTGGGTTTGGAGGATGGTGGTGAGCCTAGAGTGACCACTGCCATCCTGGCCACCTCACGGCCATGAGATTTGGGGTCATTATTGAGCATCTACTACATGCCAAGCACCATATGGGCTTTGAAGACATGGTGGTGGACCTGACTCAGCCCAGGGAGAGAGATGACCAATAATTGCAAACAGGGAATTCATTATCATAGGGCAAACTGCTGTCTTAGGTTGGGCTCCTCCAGAAGGAGATGCTGAGGCAAGAATTTGAGGGCAAGTTATTTATTTGGGAGGCCACCCAAGGAGACATAAGTAGAGGGTGAGAAAGTTAGACGGGGAAGGGAAGGAGGCCAGTAAAGGAAGGCTGCCATACTGAAGCCAGTTACCTCTCCTGACAACTGGGGCGCAGTCCCACTGGGGACCTGTGGGGGCGCAGCAGAGAACACACTCCTCAGAGTTGTAAGGGCCGAGGGGCGAGGAAGCTGGGGTATTTATCCACCAATCCCTATCCTCCTCGGTTGAAAGCTGCTTGTGTGTGTGTGTGGGTGCTCCAGTGTGGGGCACCCTTCCCACCCCTCCCCCATGCGGGTTCAGGAAGAAGGAAGCCCTTCATGCCAGGGGGAACAGTGGGAGCCGAGGGGCCCTGGGTAGGCAGTGAGCATTTCAGATAAAATGTTAATGGAATATACAGAGTCCTCGAGGTGTCAGTGCTCTGTGGTGTTGGAATCTTGTTGCTTGCCGGCCTGTGTGCGTGTGCGTGGACGTGGCCTCAACCGACTATACCCAACAAGCAACCCAAAGCTATGGGGCCTACCCCACCCAGCCTGGGCAGGGCTATTCCCAGCAGAGCAATCAGCCCTATGGACAGCAGAGTTGCAGTGGTTACGGACAGTCAGCAGACACTTCAGGCTATGGCCAGAGCAGCTATGGTTCTTCCTATGGACAGACCCAGAACAGCCATGGCACTCAGTCAGCTCCCCAGGGATACGGCTCAACCGGTGCCTATGGTGGTAGCCAGAGTTCTCAGTCATCTTATGGGCAACAGTCCTCTTACCCTGGCTATGGCCAGCAGCCAGCTCCTAGGAGCACCTCGGGAAGTTATGGTAGTGCTTCTCAGAGCAGCGGCTATGGGCAGCCCCAGAGTGGGGCTGTGGCCAGCAGCCTGGCTATCGTGGACAGCAGCAAAGCTCCCATAACCCCCTCAAGGCTATGGCCAGCAGGACCGTGGGGGCTGCGGCCGGGGCGGTGGCGGTGGTTACAACCGCAGCAGCGGTGGCTATGAACCCAGAGGTCGTGGAGGTGGCTGTGGAGGCAGAGGCGGCATGGGCGGAAGTGACCATGGTGGCTTCAGTAAATTTGGTGGCCCTCGGGACCAGGGATCACGTCATGACTCTGAACAGGATAATCCAGACAACACCACCATCTTCGTGCAAGGCTTGGGTGAAAATGTTACAGTTGAGTCTGTGACTGATTACTTTAAGCAGATTGGTATTATTAAGACAAATAAGAAAACAGGACAGCCCATGATTAGTCTGTCCACAGACAGGGAAACGGGCAAGCTGAAGGGAGAGGCAACAGCGTCGTTTGATGACCCACCTTCTGCTAAAGCAGCTATTGACTGGTTTGATGGTAAAGAATTCTCTGGGATGAGAGACGATGGACTCTGAAAAACAAACTGAGGGTTCTAGAGGGGAGGGGGGTGGGAGGACGGGTTGGCCTGGTGGTGGGTGTTGAGGAGGGCACGTTCTGCATGGAGCACTGGGTGTTGTGCACGAACAATGAATCATGGAACACTTCATCTAGAACTAATGATGTAATGTATGGGGATT